TTTAAGTTTGTATAGTGCTAAATATGATTGTTTTCCTTAACTTTTTTTTTTCTAACTTATTCCTCTAACTTTTTTTTAACTTATTTCTTTAACTTATTTTTTTATAATTTATTTATTTAACTTATTTCTTTCTTTAACTTATTTCTTTCTAACTCATTCCTCTTTCTAACTTATTTTTCTCTAGCTTATTCCTTTTTAACTTATTTCTCTTTAGCTTATTCCTCTCTAACTTGTTCTTTTTTAACTTTTTTTTCAACTTTTTTTTTTCATTTTAGCCATGACAAATAAGCTTTTAAGTATATATATATTTTTTTGTTGTTATTTTATTTTACTTTTAATTTTTGTTTCATCTTTATTTATAGATGACAATAAACTCCTTAAATTGAAATTAGTAGTTTAAATTTGTATAGCTATAAATATGATTGTTTTTCTTAACTTTTTTTTTCTAACTTATTTCTTTAACTTATTTTTAACTTATTTCTCTAATTTATTCTTCTCTAACTTATTTCTTTTTCTAACTTATTTATTTAACTTATTTCTTTCTTTAATTTATTTTTTTCTAACTTGTTCCTTTTTCTAACTATTTCTTTCTAACTTATTCCTTTCTAACTTATTTCTCTTTAGCTTATTCCTCTCTAACTTGTTCTTTTTTTTAACTTTTTTTTTATTTTTTTTTTTGTCATTTTAGCTACGACAAATAAACTTTTAAGTATTTTTTTTTGTTGTTTTATTTTACTTTTAATTCTTTGTTTCATTTTTATTTATGGTTAATGCTTACTAGTACCTTTATTTTCATACTTTCTCTTTTTTTGTCACATATCAATTTAGGTTAGATAAAAAATAAAATAGTTTATAGTATGATTATATTTGTTGTAATAACTTTGACATAAAATAAGTTATGTTTTTTTTTGTTTATCAAAGTATTTGAAGTTTTGTAAATAGTTTTATAATTAAAGTTAACTTCAACTTGCTTGTTAAAATTACAGTTATGGAAGTTTCATAGTATATACGTACGTATATACGTTGTAAAGAACAAAAATATTCACTGGGTTTAGATAATACAACCATTTGGTCATGAATTCCAATCATTAATATAGATTTTATTTTATTGGGAGGATTAGTAGAACAAATACTTCTACTTCAAGAGCTTAGAAGGTTTTGAACTCTGTGAACTATTCACAAGTTATGTACTCAGATTTCTTTAACTACGAACTTTGAGCTCCCAAAAGTTATGTTTTATTTCTGGAGAGAATCTCCACTTATATAATTATTTTTACTTATACAGAAATAACGCGAATTCTGATTTTTCTAGCTTTTCTAATTTGTTTTGTTATTCTGATTTTTCTGCTATTCTAATTTTTTCTACTTTTCCTTGAATTTCCCAAATTCTAGGAATTCTAGAAATTTGTACTACCGATTACTGCAACAACAACCTTTTTTTGGATAGGGCGTTCCTGCCTTTTACAATTCTCCTGATCCTTAAGTTCGAGTTCTACAAGAACATCAAAACAATAAAGATAACCTACAAGAAATAATAAAATTAAAACAACACAAAGACACAATAAAAGGTACTCCACATGCCGCATGCCTATCAATTTCAACAACATTCCTATTTTTAAAGTAATGTCTAAGATTATATGTACTATTAGTATAACCAATTCCAATTTCTGCCTGTTTTTGATAATCATTGGATGATTTATATTTATCTTTTCAACAATCCTATTTTTATACAATTCAGCAAGATCATATATCTTATTATTCATCTTTGCAAGCATTTGATAACTAATAGGTTCTTTATATTTATCCTTTACAGTGCCACTTCTACCGTCAATATCGTTCCTCAAGGTCAGCAACATTTGATCGATCTCAATCTTCGATTCATCCTACTGATCTCCGATTCATCCTACTGATCTCTGATTCATCCTACCGATGGTTGTCTATCCCAACAATCGCTCTCTTTTCATCATCAGGTACATTGCAGTACTTTTTATTAATTTCGCATTTTGAGTCTTCATTATCACTAAAATATGCACTTGTTACATCATAGATCACATCATATTTATTTTCAATTTTGCTATCCTTTATTTTATTCTCTCTAATTCCTATTCCCTGATAATAGTGACCAGCGTTAAGTGTTCTTTTAGTAAGTCGTATTCTGAGGTTTCTTTAATAGTTAATAAACACATTATGTTTGTCTTTTCTACTCCAATTCTATCACAATACGTTTCATCAGCACTACCCAAATTTTTGGGCTTTTGATAAGCAGTCGCTTTATAATCATTTTTTTCAGTTCCGATTCCATGTTGAGAACAATATTTGATAGCATAAGTTCCATTATCATCAACTTGGATTCCATTTTTATGGCTATACCTGAGATCAAAAGTTTTATGGCCAACACTATTATTATCCATATTGGCAACTTTCTGGCAATAAAAAGATGCCCGATGTTTATTCTTTTCATCTTCAATTCCATTTTTATAGCAGAGTTAGGGCTACTTTGTCTATCAGAATGTTCACGTTTAACAATGTTCTCACAATATTCGAATACCTTATAATCTTCCTTTTCAGTTCCATTTCCATTTTGATAACAGTAACCAACTGATTTTTGATGATGTTCGAATGACTTCTTTTTATGCGAGCCTTCAGGTATGATTCTAATTTAACTTCATTCTTTTGATTCAATTCATCAAATTTCATATTCATAACTTCACTTTTAACAGTTTTATCAATACAATTAAATTTGCAGCTGTAACCTTTCAGATCTTCATCCACTATTTGAATATCAGATATGTTTTCTTCGTTGTGTTCATTTCTATTGACGTTCTTTTATTCACCTTACTAACGATTCTATTTTTTTTTCTTTTGTCATTATTCATCGTCAATTTACTTTTAACACACCTGATATCTACTAATCAGTTTCTTCTTTTGTCATCATATTCTTCAATCACTATTTCATCAATCACAGGTTCTTCTGGAAGCACAAACGTTGCCCTTTTAAGGCCAGACCGAATTGTATAGCGATATTTTTCATTTTTCCCTATGATTCGACATTGAACTTTCATTACCCACGATATGGAATTTTCACATTAAGTCTCACAGTATTTTTCACATTACATTTCACAGTATTTTTAGCATTATGTTATATAAGATTTTTTACATTACATTTTATAGGATTTTATATTATGTTTTATAATATGTTTTAATTATATTTTTTTATATTATGTTGTATAGTATTTTTATATTAGGTTTTATATTATTTTTATATTAGGTTTTTATATTAGGT